AAAAACCTCCCCAAAAACAAAAGCCCAGGACCTGATGGATTTACAAATGAATTCTACCAAACATTCAGAGACGAATTAGTGCCTATCCTTCACAAACTCTTCCAAAAAATTGAGAAGGAAGGGACAATACCAAACACATTCTATGAAGCCAACATTACACGAATAACAAAACCGAACAAGGACAACACAAAAAAGGAAAACTACAGGCCAATCTCCCTAATGAACACTGATGCAAAAATCCTCAATAAAATTTTAGCTATCAGTATCCAACAATGTATCCATAAGATAATTCACCACGACCAAGTAGGATTCATTCCAGGGACACAAGGATGGTTTAACATCAGAAAATCAATCAACGTTATCCAACACATCAACAAAAAGAAATATAAAAACCATATGATAATATCAATAGATGCTGAGAAAGCTTTCGACAAAGTGCAACACCCATTCATGATAAAAGCCCTTGTAATTCTTGGGATACAAGGAACATACCTCAACATCATAAAGGCCATCTATGACAAGCCAACAGCCAGTATCATTCTCAATGGTGAAAAGCTGAAAGCAATTCCATTAAGATCTGGAACAAGACAAGGATGTCCACTCTCACCACTGCTTTTCAATATAATACTGGAAGTCCTAGCCAGAGCAATAAGACAAGAGAAAGACATCCAAGGAATCCAAATAGGAAAAGAAGAAGTCAAACTATCATTATTTGCAGATGATATGATAATATACGTAGAGAACCCCAAAAACTCCACAGAAAAACTAATTCAACTAATCAATCAGTTCAGTAAAGTGGCAGGATACAAAATCAACACGCAAAACTCAGTAGCCTTCCTATACACAAACAATAAATCTGAAGAAGAAGAAATCAAAAAAACCATCCCTTTTATTATTGAAACAAAAAAAATCAAATATTTGGGAATAAATCTAACAAAAGAGGTAAAGGACCTATACAAAGAAAACTATAAAACACTGTTAAAAGAAATAGAAGAAGACACAAAGAAATGGAAAGACATCCCCTGCTCATGGATTGGAAGAATAAACATTATTAAAATGGCCATCCTTCCAAAAGCAATATACAGATTCAATGCTATTCCAATCAAAATTTCAATGTCATTCTTCAAAGAAATAGAACAATTATTGATGAAATTCATATGAAATAACAAAAAACCCCGAATAGCCAAATCTCTTGAAAAAAAAAGAAGGGAATGGAGGCATCACACTCCCAGACTTCAAACTATACTACAAAGCCATAATCATCAAAACTGCATGGTATTGGAACAAGAATAGACATACAGACCAATGGAATCGAATAGAAAATCCAGAAATAAACCCACAGATTTATGGTCAACTAATCTTTGACAAAGGAGCAAAGACTATGCATTGGAGCAAAGAAAGTTTGTTCAATAAATGGTGCTAGGAAAACTGGGTCGCTACATGCAAAAGAATGAAGCTTGACCACTACTTCACACCATACACTAAAATCAACTCAAAATGGATTAAAGAACTAGACATAAGACCTGAAACCATAAAATATATAGAAGGAAATATAGGCGAAACACTACGGGATTTGCACATCAAAGACATCTTTACAGACACATCACCCAAAGCAGTGATAGTGAAGGCAAAGATAAACAGCTGGGACTACATCAAATTAAAGAGCTTCTGCACAGCAAAAGAGACAATAACAAAAACAAAGAGAAACCCCACCAACTGGGAGAACATTTTTGCACCCAACACTAATGATAAAGGACTGATCACAAAAATCTGCAAAGAGCTGATGAGACTCAGCACAAACAAAGAAAATAATCCAGTCAAAAAATGGACAGAAGAGCTAAAAAGAAACTTCTCTGAAGAGGAAATGCAAATGGCCAACAGGCATATGAAAAAATGTTCAACATCACTTGTAATCAGGGAAATGCAAATCAAAACTACCATGTGATACCATCTTACACCAGTGAGAATGGCACATATTAAAAAAACTAGCAACAACAAATGTTGGCGAGGGTGTGGAGAAAAAGGAACTCTCCTGCACTGTTGGTGGGAGTGCAAACTGGTCCAACCACTATGGAGAGCTGTGTGGAGATTTCTGGACCTACTAAACATAGAGCTTCCATATGATCCAGCAATTCCACTCCTAGGTATCTACCCAAAGGACACAGAAACATCAATTCCAAAGAACACCTGCACCCCTATGTTTATAGCAGCACTGTTTACAATAGCTAAGCTTTGGAAACAACCCAAATGCCCAAAAATAGATGACTGGATCAAGAAGATGTGGTACATATACACCATGGAATATTACTCAGCATTCAAAAAAGATAAGCACATGCAATTTGCAGCAACATGGATGGCGCTGGAAGGGATCATGCTCAGCGAAATAAGCCAGAAAGAAAAAGAAAAATACCGGATGGTCTCACTCATAGCAGGAATCTAGAAAACTTAAATAAGGGACCAGGAAAATGAATAACTATAAGAAAGTGAAAATCAGAATCAACAAAAAACTATGAAACAGAGACACTTTTGGGGGGTGGGGGGCGGGAGGGGAGGGATTGGGATCAGAAAGGGGGGTTGCAATTGTATGGGGAATATAAAAATAAAATTTATTATTTAAAATAAATAAAAAATAAATAAATAAACTTGTTTCTGGCAAAAAAAAAAAAAATAAAGATGAACTAATACTTAATCTTCTCAAACCCTTCCAAAAATTGAGGAATAGGGAAGGCTTCCAAACAGATTTTATGTATCCAACATTACTCCGATACAGAGAGCAGACAAGGACATCATCAAAAAAAGAAAGAAAACTAAATACATAGATACAAAAATCCTCAACAAAATCTCAGCAAATCAAATTCAACACTACATTAAAAAAATCATCCATCCTCACCAAGTGGGATTTATTCCAGGGATGCAAAACAATCAATGTAATTGACCACATCAACAAAAGGGAAGATAAAGCATATTAATAAGCATATTAATTGATGCATTTGAAAAAAATCAGCTTCCATTTATGATTACAAACTCTCAATAAAATGGGGATAGAAGGAGCATACCTCAACATAATAAAGGTCACACCTTACAAATCCAAAGTAAAACATCACAGTAAGTATTAAAAAGTTGAAAGCTTTTTCTCTAAGAGCAGGTACAAAGTAAGGATGTACACTTTCATGCTATTACTTAGCATAATATTGGAAGTCCTAGCTAGAGCAATTAAGCAAAAGGAAGATATAAAAGGAATCCATATTGGGAAAGAAGTAAAACTTATCATCATTTTCAGATGACATGATAATATACATAGAAAAACCTGACTAAAAAACTATTAGGAACAATAAAACAGTACAGTAAACTGGAAGACCATTCCCACAGTATTAATTTTATGGATTTTATCCTTCCAAATACCTCCTATGCACAACGAAATATACAGAATCTCCATTTTTAGATGAGAGTAGTCATCATATATAATGCTTTATAATTTTTTATTCAATGACTTATAAAGGAAGATTTCCATAAAGATGACCCAGAATTCTACTATATGATGGGTTATAATTAAACTAATTCCTTACTAGTGGATATTTTGGTTGTTCATATTTTTCACATTACATGCAATACCCCTCCTATGTGCAACTACTATTCTGCATTTCTAGAGAATGCATTTGCACTGGTAGCACCGACCAGGTCAAGAAAAGACTTGCTATAGGTTTTACTATGTATCACCAAACTGCCTGCCCACTTACTTTCTCCCACCCTTGTTATTATTGGGAATTATTAATCTTTACAAAGATGTAAGTAAGAAGGATTTTACTTTCATCATTTTGTCTTTATCATGAGATTTATCACCTTTTTCACTACTGCTGTGTAGGACTTCACTCATCTATTTTTTACTATGTGCCAGGCATGACATATAAACTGTTAAAGAGAAAATGACCCCTCCCTTCAGGATATACAGGCCAACATATCAGTATGTAAGTATAAACGGTGATAAATGATGAGAGAGAAAGACAAAGAGGGTGCAATGATGGAGAATAACCGGCAAGGAGATAAGGAAATCACTCAGAAATGATGGTCAGGAAAAGCTCCTTGAAGAAGGTGACATTTAAGCAGAGATAGAGAAATTAGCCACACAAAGAGTTAGGCTGTGGGGTGTGGGGACACACCTGGGGGCTTTGGGCACAACCACTGCAAAACTGCAAAGGCAAACAACAGCTTGCCACAGTTAAAGAGCAGGAAGGAAGACCATGAACACGAAAATATGGAAAAGGGAAAATTGTGAACTTAATGTGAACACAATTTCCTACTTGTGTTATTCACTTGTTTTTCTAATGATATATATTTTTCTTATTAATCTGTAGAAGTTCTCTATACATGATGGCCATTTTAGTACTTTTTCATATATTGCAAATATTGTCTGTAATTTGTCTTTTCCTTCAACAAGCTTACGATATCTTTTACAAAACCAAAATATTTATATAGTTACTTGTCAAGGTTATAGGTTCCACGTGATGTTTAATGGTATCTCTAACCCTACAAACATAAAAATAATCCTTTGGTTAATTTGAGGTTTTCATTTTTTTCCCCTATATTTATATCTTTGTTCCATCTGGAATTTATTTTGTGTAAAAAGTGATGTATGGATCAAATGTTCTATTTCCCGCCTCTTTTCTCAAAAGACAGCCCACTGGTCACAAAAAAATATTATTTTTTTTCTGCTAACTGAAGCACAAAGTTCTGTTCTTTCAAGTATAGATTACATGTAGTACTACTGTCATATTGTTCAGGATGGGACTTGGGGGTCTGAATAAGTCATGTGGAAAGTTCTGCACAGATAGGAAATAATGAGAAAAACATTATGACAACAATTGAAAACATCAATTATCAAATGTTGAGTAATAATGTTAACTATAAATCTAACACACTAATTTTAATTAAATTAATGAATTAGTACATTCTAAATATCTAATAAATGAGTAGAGGTAACAAAATATTAGTAGCATATTTACCTGATATGTGTCTGTTGTTTAGCTAAGACACCCCACATGTCACTAACAATCTGCAAATAGATTTTTAAATACTTTAGAACAACTAAGAAATTTTTAACAGAAGTATCTTCTAAATTTTAAAACTATAAAAATATAGGCAGTATGGATGTAAGACATAACTCAAAAATAGTAATTACAACAAAATAACCTTACATTTGTACAGTGCATGGTCATATCTAGTATGTAACAATCCTATTCAGGCAGATTTTATTAACCTCATTCTGTGAATGAATAACAGGCTCAGATGAATTAAATGATCTCCCTGAAGTCAGACAACAACTAAGAAGTATTACTGCATTTTCAAACCTAACCTTCTGGCTTCTGGTTGACATTCAGTAAATTCCACCATGCCAAGGTTGTTAGTAATGCCTCTCTTTTATGGAGAACTGGGTCAGAGACTAAGCACAACTAAGATACTCACTGTGTTTTCACATTTAGCAGCAACTGCACGTTATTTAATCTGTAGTTGCCCCCGCATGGATGTTCTATATAACACCAATGACAGGCTGTGATCCAGCTCTTAAAAGAACCACCCAGTTGCTGCTTGAATATATAACACTTTTCCTAATAAGTCCAGACCATTTCTGGTCAAATGTCCCACCTCCTGAAATTTGCTGTAATTCTAAGGAACTAAAATAAATGTAATCTTATTTTCAAGTGGCAGGCTTTTAAATATTTGAAAATGAATATCCTTTTACTATTTGAATCTTTTCTCCTTTAAACCAAACATCCTAACTTCTTTACTTGATCTCATGGTTTCCATCATCTCCAGCTACCCAGGTAACTACCTTTTGAATGCCTTATAGATTACCAACATTTGGTATTTTTTGACTACCTACTGGGTGCACACTGACATAAAGTACGCAAAAGCGCAAAGGACGTAGAGTCTGGCAATAGCAAAAACTGACAAACCATAACCTGATTAGAACTTAAAAGGGGCTGTGAGACTGCAGAGCTGAACATCATATGGCGCACAACAAGAGGGCAGTTACGGGGTCTGATTCCTGCTCTTCCTTGCTACTTAATGACATGATGTGAGGTGGTTAATCACCTCTTTGCTCCTCCAATTCTGTATCTCTCATAATAGGGATGATATTATCTGTGTACCCCACTGGGCCATTTAATAACCAATTGAAATGTGAGCTGTATTGTTTGTGAACTGTTTTGGGAGGAGTTAATGAACACTGCGCAAATCACTTGGACATACACTGAATCTTTTGGGGGGATTATCACATAAAAGCTAAAAGTGAGTTGGTGATACTTTACACAGGCAAAACAACTGTATCTAGGCCAACATGGTCTCTCTGATACATCTTTCAAAATACATGACTACAAACACTTGAGCTATTCTTTCCCTATGTCTGTGCTAATAGGAGAGTATTCTTCACGACTTTAATTCACCTTTAATTCACTTTAATTCACCAAAGGCTATTATATTACTAAGAATATACAGAAAATGCTCCTATTAACCCATACAAAATTATTGGGTCATATTAACATGTAGCCTTGTATACACAACTAGTAGGTTAAACACAAGAAAATGTTTTATTATAGAAAAGAGCTCTTAAGTGACAGACGCACCTTTCTAACGATTGCAACAAAAACGACCAGAACAACTGGGAGCAACAATGTCTTCGTATACCGCAGTGGAGTCTGAAATTGAGAGGTGCTTTGTTAGAGGAAAACATTATTTTACACAGATAAAATGTCACTTCAAAAATGAACTAATTTAGTTTTTAAAAGGATGAACAGAACAAGAACATTCACCTATCCAGGATTCAGTCTAGCCACAAAGACCTATTTCCATAGAAACAAACTTTCCCAAAATGTTGAGTCGAAAACACTAACAAATACAGTCAGTCCCAAACTCTTGTAAGTGTAAAATATGACTAAAGGGTTCACGGCTCACTCTGTGCACACTACTTTTCTGAGAACCCAAATTAATATTCATTTAAGGTCAGCAGAGTGCCTTTAAATGGAAAGCTTTTCCTGTACATTTTGTAAAATTGTCACCTTCCACATAATACATGCATAATGACGACCAATGTTTACAAGAGGAAACACTTTACATTTTCTCAAATTAAAAGAAGATTGTAAAAAATCTGATAACAAAGCCCTACATAATGCAATCCTGTGCACAGTCTCAAACATTCCCAGTCTTAAAATGTTTAAATTTCCATTATTCTGTTTACCTCCAACATTATCCCTCTAAAAAGTAATCCTGTATTATTGAGTCAAATGATGCATGCTTTCCAAAGTATTTTTATAAAGAGAAATCTAGCTTCAAATATATTAAAAATACAGGTATGTTTTAATACTACAAAGTATATAATAAGCAGCATTTTATCACTTTCCATCTTATTCCAAATATTTTTACTTATTATTTCGTTAGACAAGTAATTTTGATAGTTTTTAATACAAAATGCATATATCATGCAATTAAAAGTGCCACTAATAATTTTTGTTTTAAATTTTACTATTTACCTTTATAAACAAGCTCACAATACTTAATATTTAAAATGTAAATTTATTCTTAAATTTAAGAACAGTTGTAAGATACAGGTGGTTCACCTCAAAAAGGCAATGTGTCAAAATTGTGCTAAAAGTATTTAACAAAATTTAAGAGTTCAAGCCATTTTAAGTTATTCTCCAAAGTTTTTTTAAAAGCATTTTTATTACTTCTTTTACAAAGAAAATCAGATCATCAGACTTAAATACTAACACTTTAAACCAGAAGACAGTGGAATAATTTCTTTACAATAGGAAAAGAAAGACACATGAACTAAAGAGTTTATATCTATCCAAAAAGATCTTCATGTATAAAAGTGACTGATAAGATACTCTGATCAAGTGAAAATTCAGGGATTTCTGATCCCATGAACATTTCCTGAGGAATCTTTTATTCCTTTATCTCTGATGTTTTCTTCATTTCATTAAGTACACACAAACACATATAATCAGGCATGACACATGGGTCTATACAGCATTATCTACTCCCTGCCATACAAATGTACCTGTCTTCGGATCCCTGTACTTTAGATATTGTTGCTATCTACTCGCCTTTCTTAAAGGGAAGGATTCACCTCACTCTTTTCACTTTGTTTTAGTAGCACAAAACACTAAAAATATATTATAGAAAGTGAAAAATTACACATACAAAAAAATCATTATCTCACTACCCAAAGCCAGTGCTGAAATTTTGCTCTTGGACTTTGTTTTTTATATGTAAATAAGATGGTACCACTTTGTTCCCTCTATTATCTACTTACTTGTCTTTTCATATTAATAATGTTATATTGTTCCCTTTTCCCCACTGTACAGACACACCATAAGAGGATGGGAGTGTATTCTGACTCTACAGTACAGTTGCTGTGAAGGGATCTACAGCAATGCAGAAAACAGCTGTGTCATTTTCTTCAAATTGAATGATGTCATGTTATACCTCAATAAGCAATTTCTTCAACCACATAACTGGTGTTTCATATCCTCAGACTATAGTGGCACACGCATCCTCAATAATATCGAAGGACTTCCACTGCGTCCTAACTCTCTGTTGATGCTTACCCTCTATTTCTTTTACTAATTCCTCGAGAAAGTCTTGCTCTGATATACATTGTAATGTCTTGCAAGACACACTTTCTTAGTTTCTTTCAGCAAGCTCAGCACTATCATCCATACACCTTTTATTTGCCACTAAGTGTCAAAGTAATTTGTTAGAACACCAAGAAAGACTGACAGTGTGTGGAGGAAACAGTACATGTACAAGGACAAAGTCTACTCAGAAGTCTAGCTAGTAAGAGCCTGCGGTGTGGTGTACTCCCACCCACTGGTCTGTAACCAGGGATACAGGGTTAACCCAGGGAGATCAAAGAGGAAAATGAATGAGTTAAGAGTACTGTTGGCAAATTTAATGCATACAGACATACAGCTTTAAGGAAAAGTATCTCACAGATAATAAAATATAATAATTTAGGAGCACCTGAGCAATATTAACAAAGACATATAAATATATGCTTGTTGACCTTAGCCAGATCCTAAAAAATTGCAAAATATAGTTTATATAAAATATCACTAAAATACTACTTTCCAAAATATTTCATTTTGCCTCACCATGTTTGTTTAGCGCACTCCTAGAAACTAATAAGCTGTACTACAAAGAATGAGTCATTTGTTCAAGAACATCAAGTAATATTGCAGGCTTCTGTCTCACAGTTCACTAAACTACTCTTCGATTTTTTTCTATACATCTGAATATAGTTTTAGAATAAAAAATGTTCTTGGAATGAAAAACTTGTATTCACTACTACTCTGTTATTTCAAAGCAATGTGATCATTCAAACAACCACAAAGTGGGTGGAAATACAAGAACGTCACTGAATTAATGAAATCTCTGAAAAGACATGCCTGACATGCCATTGTGTTTATCCATCAAAAAAAAAAGAAAAAGACTGCTAGTCTGAATGCATGCTTCTAAATTGTCAAAATGAGAAAAGGCCAAATAGTTCATGGAAATGAACTAATGCAAATAGGAACATCTCCACTAAGCTGCTGGATTTTCCTATTTCTTCAAAATGAGATAACAACACAGAGGAACAAGCCTAAGGGAAAAAAACATCTGAGCATATACCTCTTAAGAAAAATGAATGGACTAAAATCTAAGAAAACTAGAAATCACATCTTACCTCCTTTTCCATAAAGTCAAACTCTGCTGCACAGGTATACAATAAAGTATCAAAATCCTTATAACTGAAGAATTTTGATGTTAATAAGTTGCCAATATGAGCCTAGTAAGGAATAAAGTGAGGTACCATTATATTATGCTATATATCTTAATAATGCATTTTCATCTTAATGATATCTAAAAATAGTCTTCACGACATTATAGTCTACTATTTCCATACTAGGTTTGCTTCTGTGAAAGAAGAAAGTGCTGTGCTGTCTAATTTCAGGCTCTCTCTTCTTTTGCTAACGTGATCATGCCAACAGCAGTCTGGCTTCCATGATCATTCATCAACATACCAAAGGCTTTTATCCTGGGTTGTCCGTGCTCACTGTGCTAACCCTGCTGAAATATATTACACAACATCCTTTGCTGGAGCTTATCAGGAGGAATGGGCTTGGGGACATGCAGACATCTGTCAATCATAAATGCACAAAGGGCAATGGAGTAAGAAAAGGACATAGTGATTCAGATTTCTGAAAAAGGGATTGAAAAGACTTTTTGAAAGAAGTAGAAAATGGGCAAGACTTGGAATAAAACACATCTTTTGACTAATCCATCTATAAAATTCTTTACATGATGGCAAGTGTTCTTACTTATATTGCTTTGGTTAGTTCCCACAAAAATATTATATAAGGAAGGTGCAATTATTTCAACAAATGAGATAACATTTACCAAACTTCCAAGTTCATTAGTGCATAAAAGCACAAGAATCAAGGAAAAGGGGAAAGTTATATCTAAGAAAAACCATACTTAACATCCTACATGATATCCACATGAAGAGGGGGAGTAGGAACTAAAGGGTGAAGGGAATATCTTGAAGAATTTTCAAGTTAATCTTATTGGAGGAGAAATGTATACTGATAAACTTAAGAAGTCAATAGGGAGGATATATCGCACTTCAAAGAGCGTAAGAAAGCAATCTACGCAATGAAAAAGTTTTTAAAGGTAAAATAATTGGACAACCTTAAACAAAATAGAGGTAATAAATCACAATATAATAACTGCCAGATATGTAAAGAGCTAAAGTTCACTAAGGATGGATTATATTATGATATCTGTTTAAAGGTTTAAAAGTCTCTGAAACTGGCGGCTTTATCTGTTACAAAAGGAAATTAAAATAAACCAAAAAAAAAATTACTACATAGACTTAAATTTTAAACTTAAACCTCTGGAGACTTCTTGCTTTAAAATTTTAAAATCTTTGTGATATAGGAAGAGACCATAAATAGTCATATTTACTTCCTATCATAGTAAACAAAACAACAGATGAATAGACTTTATCCTAGAATTTGACTTAAATGGTGGGACTTAGTAACTCCAGCAATTCATTCTTGTTTAATTCTTTTCAAGTCTTAGCAAAATGCACTTACATCATCTGCAATGCCAAAGATTTTAGATGTCAAATACTTGAGTGTGACAGTTCCAAATAACCAAAAACATCCTTGTATAACCTACAAAAGAAAAATGTAACATAACAAAAATAAACTGATGCTTCCATAGACATTCTATAGACATAGCCAAGGAAGAAAAAAATGTTTTAACCATATACATGAAATAAATATCTTCATATGCAAGAAAAAATGCTAAAAAAATGTATACCTGAAATTAAAATATAGAACGCTACTCTAAAATCCAGGGGCTATCACCAAAACCACATATATAACCTAGTTATAAAAATATATTTTATAGAAGGTTTATATAGCTATTTCAATAAAATTGCTGTCTTGTTAACAGTTTCTTATACATGCTCAGCTCCTCAGGAAAAAAAAAAATTGGTAATAAAATAAATAAAACTGGAATTCTTTAACTACCTATCCAATATTAATGCTAACTTCCTTCATGAAAAGGGCACTTCAGCACATTAAAATTGAGCCCTAATATGTTGTAAAACTGTTAGATTCCTTGCATTAATTACATAGATCATTTCCTTAAAAGTAAAACATAAAACCAATGATATATTTTAGAGAAGGAAAACATAAGCAATCAAATCGATTGATTCTTACCCATAAACTAAGTTCAGAAACATTTATTTTCAGGAGATGTGGTTTCATTGCCAGTATGCTCTGCATGGAGAAAATAGCGAGATATACAGTTAGTACTTATAGACATAAATTCAAGTACTAAAAAATCCCTCTAAATAATAAGACTCTCAAGAATCTAAAATTTAGCACGTTGTCCATGTTTCACACAGCAGCACCGCAGGCTCACTGACTTTAAAAAATAGCCCTACTTAATCAAAGTAGTTTTGGTTAGTAGTTTTGTAAAGTTGAAAACAGATCACCATATATAAATTTCTATGACTGATTTTACATCTCTGATTTATCTAAGAGTTGAGTTATATAATAATTTCACAAATTCACACAGGTGTCTTAAATAATTATTCTTTAAATCACATACTATAGACTCAGAATAACTACAAGTGCATCAACTAATTACTTTTCTGTCAAATCTTATGTCTTTTCATGTGCATTATCACTCCCAAAGTGTGATAAATATAGGAAGCTAAATCTATTTCCAATTTGACAAAAACTGGTTAGAGATCAAAACATAAATACATGAAACAAATTAAATCTTTTCAGAAATTTCTGAATATGTGAGAGAGCATCATGTGATAAGATTCAGGTTTCAAAGCAGTAAGTATAGATAAAATTAAAATAGACAAATGTCTGTTTATAGTTAAATATGCATAAACAAACTATATTCTTCAGCTGTTAGACTTATTTATTTTTACACATCAAAATATATGAAATATAAGTAAACATGTTTAACTCACATCTAAGACACACCTCAGTATCGAGCACCTAGTAGGAAACTTGGTACATTGTAGGAGCTTAACAGAAATTTCCTGCAAGATATGCTGACATTAGCTTTTATTGCTATGCCATCTTCCATTCAATGACTTCCCTATATACAAGTACCAAGATCATTACTAACCTGCGTATTAGCAGGACTTGCCCATCTACACATGGTAAGATACAGCATTAAGTACTCTGTCACACCGCCAAATTACAAACAGAAGTCACTGACTATAAGAACCTTTTTCATCTCAAAGCATAGCAACTCAGTTAATGATTTTTTTGTCACTGTTGTAAGTACATCACAACCATATGCTAATTGCTAATTTCCATAACTAACTATACTCGAGACATACAACCTAAAATAATTGTGGCCTAGATTGGGAAGAGGCATATTTTGGGGAAGCTAGTTATTAATATTATTTATAAAATAAGACAGAGAAATAAGAGTTTCCAAATTTGTTATTGGGTTCTACCAAATGACCTAAGTAACAAATGATTATCCAGGAAGTAGAATACATTTTAATTAAGACAGGACAAACAGGCCAATTCTAACGCACATGTACTTTAAATATAAAGGAGATCTTTACTCTTAAGTTGGCAAAATATTGTAATGGTGAAACCCCACTAATAAAGAACAGCCACCTTTGGAAGTTCTTTAATTTAGGAAGATTTATATTTAGAAAGTCACCTGCCAAAAGAGGCAGGAGTTAGATGACCTATTGTCATTCGCTCAAATTTTTTAAGATGATCTCTCCATAATGTAAATCTGTTGTTGGTAGTGATTTTACAAAATAAAACTGAATCACCTGATTTAAACTATGTGACTGTTTCATACAAATATGGCAGTGGGGAGGGGAGACTAAAAAATCAAGGGTTAAGGCCACTGATCACAGTACGGTTGGAAAGAAAAAAAAAGGGGGGTCAGAGAATGAAGCAGGAACAGAATAAAAACTAAAGAGAGGAAGAAAGAAAAGGGAAAAAGAACAGAATCCTTCCTAAAATGAACCCTGAGACAATACTGTGGTGACAGAAAAGAGACAGATAGGGTGCACTGGGACCACAATGTAAGGTGCTATGGTTTTGAATATTAACTTCTGTTGTGTGTCCTTCCCTGTTTTGGAAGTGAGTATTTGAATACATTATCACATATAGATGTCTCTAGTAAGACACTTGAAATAATTTTCATAGTAAATTCCAGGTGAATCTAAGGCCAGTGTTCCAAAAACAGCTATGTACTAAAAGAACACTTACCCAAATAATGACCAGAGAGGAAGCATAATAAGAAGTTAATAACATTGAGTTTCCAAACATCAAAACAAAACAGAGAGCAAGAGAAATCTGGAAAAATCCAAGAAAAATATCATTAATATACACACAGCAAAAACAAAACAAAAAACAACCACCACTAATTTTTATTCTGGAAATTGCACATACCCATAAGTTCAAACTCAAACCCCCAAAGATCACCACCATCAAGTATTTTGTACATCCTTCCAGACACATGTACAAATTCTGTGTATTTTTGAAAAAACACAAATGGAAATAAGCTATATTATGACTTGTTTTTACTCTGTTTCAGTTTTCTAAGTCAATCCAAACCGTGTAATTTATTTTGAATGACTGGAAAAAATATTCTCCTTAAGAGCTGCACTATAGGGCCTCCCCGGTGGCGCAGCGGTTGAGCGCTGGGTTGCGAAGCTGCCCGTGGCCTCTGTGGCGCCGGTTCGATCCCCGGCTGCTCCCCGGCCACCAGAGGAGGGTCCCACATGGCGAACAGACCTCTCCTGCCGCCCGCTGCTCCCCTCAGCAGTGTACTTCGCTCCTTCTGCCTGCTCTGCTCCCTGCTCTGGCTCTGGTGAATTCTCTCACCCTCCCGCGCTTCTGACTGTACCAGTGCATGTATAAACAAAACAAACAAACAAACAAATAAATAATACATGCCTCTATTAAAAAAAAAAAAAAAGAGCTGCACTATAATTTAATCAATCCTGACTACTGCTAAACGTTTAAGTGCTTTCTAGCTCTGTTGTCATTCTGTTTTCTTACTACAAACATTGCTGTAAACATCTTTACATGTTTATCTTATGTATATATCAATATGTTTATGAGAAGTGGGATTGATGGGTGATTTTCTACATTTTAAAATATTTAAAATTTTGACAAATGCCATACAAAATGTTGTACCACTTTACTCTTCTGCCTATAGAGCACAGGAAATCTAAATATCCATATGTAAAAGAATAAAATAGGACCCCTAACTTACAAGGCTCACAACATGAAGCAGTAGTTGATTACAGATATATATATATATATATATATATATATATATATATATAAGCTTTGAAACCATAAAATTAGAAGCAAACATAGGGGGAAAAGCTCTGTAACACTGGTCTTGGCAATGTTTGTTTGTTTTCAGTTTTGGTTTTTTAGATATGACTCCAAAACACAGGCAACCAAATCAGTAATAAATAGGCTGGACTACATCAACCTAAAACTCTCCTGCGTAGCAAAAGAAATAATCAACAATGTGAAGAAACCTGGAGAATGGGGGAAAATATTTGCAAACCATATATCAGACAAAGAGTTTATATCTAAAAAATATAAGGGAATTCATATAACCCAAGAGCCAACGGGGGGGAAAAAAACTGACATTAAGACAGCAAAACATAATTTTTACACTCTGAAAAATAAAAAGGTAACCAGAGTGGATGGGAAGTGAAGTGATTTGGCATTGGCACTGTGCTTTGGTTAATGGTAGGTGAAGTATGTATACAAAGGTATGAGATTATAATCCTCAAATTACATAGTTGCATAAACAACTGGCAAATCCATAAAAGTGAAAAAAATAAAAATTAAATAAAAATCCTAACAGATAGCAAAGTGAATCTAGTAATATTTAAAAAATTGTGTTAAGCCCAGAAAAGCACGATATCTTGCTGGAAAAAAAAAAAATCAATTAACATTAAAGAGGGAAAATACATAGGATCAATTTATTTTGATTTGTAATTTATTTTGAATGACAGATACAGGCAGGCAGATACAGAAAAGCATTTGATGAAGCTAAGCCTTTATTTATTTGTTTTTAAAAGTGCTCAGTTATTTGAGGACATGTTAAAAGGACAGGAAATTTGTCCTTTGGAAATAATTTAAGCATTAAAACAGAGAGTGAAAATAGTGGTTTACACTGAACTGAATAAAACAGATACCATTTTCTCTCAGATGTCAGAAGAAAAAAAAATGCCAAAAGATTTTAGTAAGAATGTCATTAAAAAAGGAAACACAAAACCATATTACACAGAATTTGCCACCCGCAATTTTACTATTAGGTTTAAATTCTCTAGAGAAACTCTTAGTATATATGTTCTAGGAGGTATGTGTAAGACACAGTGCATTATACATAAAGGAAAAATGGAAGAAAAACCTTTCAATGAGGAAAATGGAAAAATAATTAGTGCTTTATTTACACAATGAAAAATATAAAGCAGAAAATGTCTGCACTCTAGTAACACACTAATCTCAGAAACCTAAGTAAACACTAATTCTAATAAAAGGATACCATTTTTCACAAACCTTAAAGACAATAATAATATTTATAATAAAATATTATATGCATTATTTAGGAATACATATATGGTAAAGTTATGAAATGGGAGGGGTAAGTTTAGGGCACACAAGAGTTCTAAAAGTAATGATGGCTCTATTTCACATTTGGAGGGCAGGCTCACAGTTGTTCATTTTATAACTCTGTTCACAACTTCCCTACACACATGTCCTTTTACATGTATCAGTTATTTAAAACCAGACATAATGATATATTCTAATGACATTAAAGTTATTGGAAAATGAAAACATCAAAATTATAAAGTCTAAAGACAGAGACAAATGTCTTTAAAGAATAAATACCACCAAAGTCAACCTTCCAGCATTAGGGCCTTTGTTCTAGCTGTTCCACCAACCTAGAATATTCTACTTGACTAACTTCCTCTCCTCCCAGTCTGTGCTCCATTATCCCCTTCTCAATAGACCTGCCTCAGTCATCTCATTTGATACCTCAACTTCCCTGAGCTCCCTGGGGTAACATCATTTCTCTTTTTGACTAGAGTTCTTATCATCTTCTAACATGCTACATAATTTACCCATTTACTACATTTATTATTTACACACTGTATCACCCTCCTTACATATGCTGCTATCTTTAAAGTTTTATTCACTGGTGTGTCCCATATATTGGTCAGTGGATGAACATTCTACCTCATCATAATGAATAGCTCCTGGATAATATATCAATCCGTATTTCTCTTTCATGACTTCTTTCTTTTACTGATAACGTAAGTCAGGCATGGTTCTGCAGCATATAATATGACCCAAATTAAATTTTTCTGGGTGGCCTATTTAAAACAAGGCCTGTTATATATAACAGTTTTGGAATGATACTTTATTAGTTATGGAATTATGTTACAACTAGTTTCAGCCAAGAACAAACCCAATAGTAACCAGAAGTTTGTTTTAAGGTCAAAGTAAGTGAAAAATGGAAAACATGAAATCATTACCATGTGTATATAAATGATCTTCTGTAATTTGCATATATCAATATATCCCACAACATATACCGCAAATAATGATGCAATCTGAAATTTAAAAAGATGAGTTAAAAATCAAAAATAAATATAATGAATAGCTATAAGTGAAGAAAAGATTACCTTTATTATTCTTTCAAACTGACTTATATTTATATTGAAAATGAGTTCTTAAGCTTTGCTCTTATCTGTCAATTTATAATTGAATCTGGTCAATATATTTATATAACAAATATTAATTGCTTTTTCTCTGCCATACACAGTCTTCTCAATAATTGTCTTCTCATACAAATTATCTACTTCATGGATTATCCATAATAACATTCATTTAAAAGTTAAGTGACTCTACTATAAATACATATAATCAAAAAATATGCAAATTTAATTGTAACAGATGACAAAATATGTAATCAAGGAAGGTACATCAAACTCAAAAATAATTATATATGATTTTAATATGTGTGTATAAAAACAAAATAAGTTGTACTTGTTAATCACTATCAGTATTTCTTTTAGTGTTCTCTTTCATTAATACAAATATTCTCGAGATATAATAAAATTTGGGGCCTCCTGGTAGGGCAGGGGCTTAAGTCTCAGTGCTATCAAGCTATTACCAGCCACTGAGGCCTGAGTTCAATGCATGCCCAGGGACATAACCCACATGGCACAGCAGACCTCTCCTGTCTTGCCCACTGCTCCCCTCAGCAGTGTATTTCAGTAGATCTGCCTGTTCTGCATCCCACTCTGTCTCTGGTGAATCCTCTCACCCTCCTATACCTCTAGCCTGCACCCCAGTTCTTGTATGCTTAAATAAGAATAAAATCTTAAAAAAATAAAATTTATCAATTTCAAGATAGAAGTATTTTCACTAAAAAAAAAGGTATTTGTAACTTCATAGTTTTGAAAAAAAATTGTACGTATTTATTCTGAATTCTGAGAGTACTGCAGTTAATTAGATGAAGTAATTAATTAATTGACTCTTAGTAAAATATAGAGTAAAATATAGAGGAATTAAGTCAAACAATGCCTCCCCATCCTTCCTCAATTTGAATTAAATTCCATGCTTTTCCTGCTACACAAACATGGTATAGGCAACTTGTAAAACAACTGAATTCTCAAACCTGTAACTTAAGTTCAATTTATCAAGTTTTTTACCTCCAAACAAACTTTCCCATTAGTAAGAAAAAGAGTTTCCCTTCACCAGTTTTATCCCTGGGGGACACTACACAGCTTAGGGATGATAGATGCTGCACAGTGGCTGCTGGGACGTGCGCGCTGTCATTCAGTCTCAGGTCCACAGGGAAACACACTACCAGCTCCCCTCATTAAACCATCCCCAGCCTGCCCACCCCACCTCACCCACCAAAGTGAGCAAGAGAGCTAAACTAACTAACTCTCCTTTCCAACAGAGGCTCAGCAACACAAAGCAGGCCCACAGGATAGAATCCTAAGGAGTTAATCTTGGACATTTTAAACCAGAAACTGATTTAAAATGTCATCAAACTAAAGAAGGCAAAGGAGTCTAAAAGGTAAGATGAAAGAAAGAATATAGCACAAATAAAATCTGTTTTTAAACATAATGATAAAAGCAGCTCACTTGACTGACGTCTTGCTAAGCACCAGGTAATGCGTGGTCTTACAGGCTTTACTTCATCTGATCCTTACCACAACTCAGTAAAGTAGGCTCTTTTGTCTTCACTATTTGACAAATGAGAAAGTAAAAAACTAACAAAAATTAAGTACTTTGTCAAGTCAGGAAGCTAGTGAGTAGTGTGAGCACTCAAATCTAGGTCTGACTTCATTTCCACAGGGAGACATTTCAAAGAACACCAAATAGCAACTTTAAAGTGCTTTATATTAATATGAATATGAATAAGGCCAGCATAATAAAGAAGCAAACCAGAAGGGGGGCGGTAAATACACAATTTATTCCCTCTCTAAAAATGCTACCCTGATCTTGCTTTATAGCCCTCTATCTGAAAAAAGATAGATAAATTGTATACTGGCAGGAGAGACATATAAAATATGAACCATTTAGCTTTGTATATTTGTTATCATATTACATTTATCCTTTGTATAAGAATGCACAGCTTTATTCACAAAATACATTTTACTTAAGAGAAAAGTTACAGTTTACTTAAGAGAAATACTCAAAACTACAGCACTCTTCCTCTGTTAGGCCCACAAACACTGAATAGCAAAGACTGCCATTTGCATACATTTGACTGTAATAAATAAATTTTGCTTGTAATAATTAACATTCATTAATAAATCTTACATATGTTCCTGCCCTGCCTAACCCTTTAAAAAAGTATTATCTAAAACAATGTAGGACTTAAATTCATATAACATCTCAGTTCCAGGATATGTTACCAAGGAGTTCACATGGTTAAACACACTAAGAAGCTTATTAACGCAATTTAAAAATGTAAACAACCTTACCTGAGTAAGAAGTACAAATTGAGCAAACTGCCAGGGAAGCATGAAAAATACATTGGAAATGCAGAGTGCAATCAAGCTTCCCCTATAAAGTTTTGTAGCCCTTGAAAGGATAAAATAAATACCAGTAAGTTTAACCACAAAATATCTGAGCATGAGTCCAAACTGCTACAAATTAGTATCTCTACACATGAGCTGGTTGTAAAATAAACCAGACATAAAACAAACCAATGAGATAGAAATTATACCTCCTGACACTCAGTTATAATAATTTTCTATGAAAAGTAAATACCTGTTATTACTGTAAAAAACAATGTCTACCAGAGAGAGGAGTGGCTGGGTCAGTACAGCTATTGGATTTTTTTCAAACTGTATTTTTGTGAATTCATAATCAGATATTTTTAAAGGCGTGTTCAAGAGATTCATTAGTTGGGAAGGTAATGTCTGATATAGAAAGTAACATATTCTAAGTTTAAGGGTTATATAGATAAGTGATGTAAGAATTCAGAATATGGGCTGAGAGACTGAAGGAGATTCTATGGAAAATGTGAGATAAAAGCTCAGCCCTACACAAGTAGGATATAGAACAGAGAAGAGACCTTCAGAGGAAACACCTTTCTTCATTCCTTAAATCACACTTCTTCACACATTCTTTTCTACTTTTTTTTTATTTTTAATACTAATTTAGCATTTTATTCATATTCTTTTTTAATTAATTTATTCTTTTAATTGAGGTAACACTAGGATCCTTCCCATTAGCTATTGCTACCAAAGTACACCTACCACCAAATAAGCCACAGTCCATCACCCTAGGCCATTATGCTTTCTTCTTTTTTTGTTCTTACTCATCCCTATCCCTCCCCCTTCTTGATGCTTCTGCTATTCTAATCCAACCCTTTCTATCATGCCTCTAAATGAAGTATTTCTAAAAGCCAGGTAACTTATAACAAGTTACAAAATAAACTAGATAAAATTATCTTTTTTTTTTAATGGAGCAAAGGAGAATAAAGCAAATCATATGATTGCATCCTATGTAATAAGTATTCTATCCCATGAAACTTTAAGTTGGGTCTTTGTGTGCACCCATGTATGTGTATAGTAGGTCACAATATAAACAAAGTGCATCTTACTTATTGTAGATCACAAAGAGTTGATGAGTCACTGTCTAAAACAAAGCATTTCTCTACTGCTTTTGAATACTAAACAAGATTTTAACTTTATGGGTAAGGAGAGACATTAAAGATTTACACATGGAATTTACACTAATCTGGCAGTTGAGTACAGAATATACTTGAGGGACAATGGAGCAAATGGAAAGCAAAAGAATTCCAACTAGTGGTGGCATGATCAATATGGCTCTGAACCACAATGGAAATGGAAACACAAATACTGCAAAAGAGCTAAGACTGTGCTGTTATGACTAGCTGTTTATAATTTTAAGTATTTTTATTTATAAATGATCCCTAACATTAAGAAAGTCTCTTCTAATTTATAGCATCTTTGGCATCTGCAGCCTATCTCAACATTACTGAGCTTCTTACTGTCTCACCCACAAGGTGTCAACTATAGGTGGAAACTAAAAATAAAAGGAAATTGCTGTCCTGCCAAAAGATTTCAGTTTATAAGGATAAAATATCAGAAGATTTAGATAGCCAAGAAGTTTGCCGTAACTGTAGAAAAGGATGCAGTTTTCCCCATCAAAAAAAAACTGTAGTTGCTAAGAAAGCAATTGTCACCCCAGTGAAGATGAAAGCATCCATCACATTCCCAAGCAACCACCCATAGCAGTAGCCACACCAGGCAACAACGGAGTCATGCCAACTAAGAAAACACAAATGGGCAGAGATCCTGAGGAAAACGTGGATGAAGGTGACAGAGAAGCTGAAGCAGCAGTGTTAAAAGCTGTAGCAGTTTCAGATGGCCAGAAATCTGAGAAAGAAAACGCTGATGAAGACAAACACCAAGCAAAGGAAAAAAGAGGGGGAAAAAAAAGAGGAAAAAAGAATGAATAGACATGATTAAGAGTCTAAAGAAAAAGAAAGATTTTTGCCACAAAGCACTTGGAGAACAAGACAGGAGAACCTAGCACAAAGCAGCCTCTGAAGCTAAGAAACAATGACTGGAGCAGTTTTACAGTGACCAGAAGAGTAATAATCTCCACATGGTACACGTCCTGATCCCCCAAAATTGCTTGTCACATTACAAGGCAAATGGAAATGAACACTACCTTCAGATAGGGAGACTATCCTGGATTACCTAATGTAATCACAGCATCCTTAAAAGTGGGAGAGGCAGGAGAGAAGATAAGGAAGTAATGGGAAGACTTGATGCACCACTGCTATTTTGAAAATGGAGGGGCCACCAGCCAAGGAAAGCCAGCAGCTTCTAGAAGCTAGAAAAAGCTAGGAAGTTGATTCTCCCCAGAGGCCCCAGAAGGAGTGTAGTCTGCCAACATTTTGATTTTATGGTTTCCGAGCTATAGAGGTGCAAGATGTAAGACAATAAATCTAAGTTTGTGATGATTTGTAATAGCAAAAAAAGAAAACTAGCACTACCATCTGCAGTTATCACTCAGGATGCGTGAAAGGAAGCAGTGCTCAGGAAGTGGAGCAGCTCAGAGTAGAGCAGATCAGGGAAGGAGTATGACAGGAAACAAAGGTCTGTGCCACTGGATTTAAGACAGGAGCAGAGGCCAAAGAGAAGCAGGAAATAGAGACTGATGGGCAGTCCAAGGTCTACATGAAACTGGAGAGAAAAGCCAGTCAGGAATGTGGACACACAGCATTTGCAGTGGTGAATCGAAAGCTCAGACATTGTACACTTCCTCCAGAAGTGCTGTCCTTCCTTGAGAAAGCAATGTCTACCAAGGTGCCCCAGGGCTAAAAATTAGGAATTCACAGAATTTGAAGTTGCAAAAGAAGCTTTAAATCCCATACTGAAAAGAAATTTAGGGGAGAGCAATCAGGCTGTAATTGCAGAGGCTTTAAAAGCTAATAAAAGAGCCACTGCCCATTCTAAATTCTGTGAAAAGCCTGTGTAACTAAAAGCCACAAAACATCTCCATTCCCACTGCAACATCAGCTAGAGAAAAGTGGCCTCTGGTGCACGGGGCTTCAGCCATGTTCTCCTGAATCTGCTCATTACTGGAGGGAGTTTTTAGCCTGAGTCATCTGCAGATTTTCATTGGGCTTTGTTCTAACTTTTCATAGATACCTTATTATTATTATTATTATTATTATTATTATTATTATTATTTTACCCTCTGAATCAAGGTAGCATCTATCTAGCCTCAATATTTGTCAACAGAACAGGGAGAGAACTGTTCTCAGTGCAACTCTCTTTTTACTGATATGACGTCTCTAGTTGAAGGCCAGAATGTGGCATAGGTCAGTCTAATTCTGAACTTCTACAGGAATTCTCCTGGTATAGCTTTGGTCCATTTGAGTGGTTCTTTCTAACCCCAACCATCTGATTCTCGAGAATACTAAGCAAATGTAGAAAGAATTACATGTTAATATAGCTAAGCGAAACTGTTCTTTGCCTCTGAAGAACTGTAATTACAGAATACTCTCTACTGCCACCAGCTTTTCCCTTTCTTTCTGTCAATTTTTGGGACACTATCATGGTAACAGCAAATATTTGGGAAAGCGCTGATGACAGAAATGGCAGCTGAGCTGCTGCTCCACAAGCAGCACCCATAGATCACCTAGCAACAGTATAATCTTAATTATATTGTTATAGTGATTTTTTTATTATGAAAGTTTAAGAAGTTCTAGCTTAAGTTTCTTAATGCAAAACTAGTAACAACTAAGGCTAAATCAAAGTTACCTGAGAATATGAGTCACAAGCAACATCTGAAGTACAAGAAAGGGGTACGAGAAGCTTTCTCGGAGAGGTGGGGTCCACATCACACGGGTACACTGAAAGAAGAGTCACGGCATATGGCACAATTGTCAAAGTGGTTCAGTAAGACATACCAAGCTAAAGCTGCTATTTATACTACTTATAAATACAAAAAGGAGTGTTTTCACACATAATTTAAATGGTGCTGTAAAACAAGCTACTAGATTTTCCTCCAACAGCATAAAAGAGAAGTGAGGAACAATTCTGAAAAGGAGACAAACATGGCATAAGATCTTGTAAAATACTAGCATTATGAATTTCCAATAACAAAGTACCAAAAACTTTCAACTAGAGCCTAAAAGTGGGGGAAATACCAACAAAAAAAATCCTGGCAAAATTAAAAAGGTTTCATTTAAATTGGCAGTGTCAATTAGCTATACTCATCTTCTTTCTCATGAAATTCATCAAAACTATCCCTAACTAATACTTCAAAACTCTTTGTCTTAGCACTGATAATCACCATGCTGGTTATTGTTTGTTTGTTTATTTGTTTTTAAAAATAAGAGCATATCATCTTTGTTTTTACTTCTTTGCCTAGTCACCCTGAGCTGCAAAATATTTTAAAGAGGTAGAGGGGATGAGATTAAATAGCAAAAGTCCTAAAACAATTATCAAGCTCTCTGAGCTCACTTTGGACATAATTAAATAATATACTGTGCCAGTTTTAGTACTCAATCATTTTTCTGAATAAATACAAATAATAAGTCCATCTTAATTTAAAGAAAAATAAATTGGATTAATGTAAACAATTTGATATTTCTAATGCTAAGCTAGTCATACTAGATGAAACCGTTACAACTCTCAGTTCAAGCAGGGCTACTTTAAAGATTACATAAAATTACAAAGACCATAATGGAAATAAGCTATTCCTTTATTTTTGCTCTATTTCAGACTATGAGACATTTCTACTATTGCTACAGAAAGTTTGAGATAATTTTTTTTTTCTCTATACCAAAGCTACTATGAAAGTTATACATACAGGATAATTATGAAAAGATTTTAAAAGTATTTTGATACATTTTTAAAAGTCTGTTAGATTAACGATTTTAGTACAATTGATAGCAGAGATACATAACAAATCTTTAAAAGCAATCAATCTCTATGCAAAAACCAATAAGAAAATGTTTAACCACATAATATACAATTTGAGAGTTTTCTTCATGCACAGTGTTCATCCACATTTATCTTATTACCCAAATCAACTATATTACATCTCTTAGAAAAATTCATTACTTTTAATGACTGAAGTAACTCTGTTCTCTAAAACTCAATTACATCCTGTGTAAAGTAGGGTTAAGAAGGTCTAACTGCAGGACTGAAACAAAAGAACAAGGTCTCCCCCATCTAAAATATGGAGTGAATGCAATCAAGTGTATGTGAAAGTACTTACTGGGTCTCCAACGACACTGTGCTTTACCAGATATGGCACAAATACAACTGCTGTTCCAGACAATCCATATGATTTGAAAATGCTAAAGAGATGTGCTTTAACCGTACCTTAAGTTTCAACAAAGTGTTTTCTCTTTAAATGTTAAGTAGAAAATAAAAATCTATAGTTCTCTATATAGGTTGACAGCTTAAAATATCAATGCCTTTTAAAGGCATTATCTTGAAGCTTAAAAATTAAAAAAGGAACTGAACTGCATCAAAAAAGGTCACAAATGCATGCTGCATTCTAACAAACTACAAGAAATCCTTTAATTGTGAAAAGGAATTCAATGAAGACCTTACAGCTTCAAAATGTCATTATCTTACATATAATTTTCAGCATATATTTCAAACACTGAATAATGCAACATAATACTGCATAGATATTGATGACAATACACTTGTAATTTATTTTCTGCCTAGTGAAAGTAAATTTTTAATCAGTTACTTAAGAATTCAAAGACTAAAAAATTTTAGCGATAGATAGCTCCGTTTTCAACCTCTACTTTCAAAAATTTTCACTATTCCCTTTCTTCCAACATTTTATTGTGAACACTCAATGCTCCTTTCTTCCATTGTTAAGTGGTCATTTCCTATTTTTAGGTCATTCAGAATCTTTGCTTCTAAATGTTTTATGGTCTATACTATAACATTGCTGCATTCATAGTCAAGAAAAATCAAAAAAAATTTTTTGGTTCAAAACTCAGACCAAACCAATCAATTATTGTCATACTATTCATTAGTCAAATGTCCTAATCTGTAAGGGCATACTAGCTTTAAATTTGTGATTCCAAATACTCAGTATATATTCCAAATATTCAACAACGATCCGTAACTCCCTGAAAAATTTTTAAAATTCAATCTTGATTCTACAGTTAGGTTTTAAAATGACTACACGTAGTTTTGTAATATGCATATTCAAATACAGTGGACAGTGTAGAAACATATAAAAGGATTAAGATATGTCACACACAAAGTAAGCTGACCTTTCTTTTCTTTCCCTCTTATAGAACTTTCCATTAAACTAGATAGGTATTAGAAATTCATTTACAGCTATGATTAATTTAGTGGAAAGAATTCATTCACACCTTTAAGTTATATTAGAATTTAATCTAAACTAAGTTAATTGTAATGATACTACCACAAACTAACAATTGCATAGAACTATTATGTGTCAGGCATTGTCCTAAGTACTTTACACATATAAATTCATTTAATCTTTGCAAAATATGACCATTTATGAAAAGAAAGGCGAAATTAAGGAAGATGAGATTAAAAAACTTGCCCGAGCCACACAGCCAACTAAATGGCAGAGCCAAGGTTTGAACCAAGGTAGCCTGGATACAGAGTCTATGCTTTTTACAATGCTGATTCCCTTAGAACACCCTCAGATACATGAAAATTTATAAAGAAAAATATTCTGCAAAGGACACTAAAAAGTATATCAAAGTTTAATATAAACACACAAAAATAGAAATATAGTACACAGCTCTGTTAATCCCATTAAAAGACAGTTAATTATATACATGGCTGACTTATTCCTTTTATAGCGAAAGTGTGAGCTTTGTAAAGAACTGATACAGGTTTCTTCAAATCACTAAGAGATATCTGAGAGATATGTCATTAAAAATCAACTTAAAATAAATGCTAATGTTTGTTTGAAATTTGATTCAAAACAAGATCAAGCATTTTTCAAATGCTGCTATAGCTTAAAATTAAAGTAATTAAAAGAAGCCTATATTTCTAGAAGTAAAGTTTCATATAATTTAAACCACCAAAGAAATGACTTGTATTTCTAGAAGTAAAATTCCATTAAGATTTTGAAAACCTTTGTTGGCTACCTACCTCTCCGTGATTGAAAAAGAAACACAACACTGTCACCAGGCCTCCTAATCGGCTGCCACTGGAAAAGAGGATAAGAAAATGTAACTCAAATAACAGAAATCCAGGTCAATCCTGAAATAACATGACATAATAATCTTCCAGTACTACAAAGTTTCAGCCACACTAGAACTTGATTATATTTATTTACAAAATTGCTTATTTCCTCTATCATTAATCATAATGCTTCATTTTTTCAAAATCATTTTCTATCTTCAAAGTACCCAGAAAACACAGAAACTGACAGGAAATAAAAATTTCTTAATAGGGATGTTACTGTGCATCATACAATGCAACCTCGCCTTTTTTTATCTTCTTTCTTTATTTATTCTTTAGCACAATATATTTACTTGTGTCCTTCGGCACTTACCAAACTATTTTTCTTGGGACACATGACATATATTCAGGAGAAGGGAGAGGAAGAAAACACAGAAAAGTCACAATGTATGTGGTCATGAGGTTGGAAAACAACACAGCTGCTTTTGGAAATTCACAAAATACTTCAGCATTTACATGAAAGACTTTATTAATTCAGTATTTCTCAAAACCTATCCCCAAGCAATTTTTTCACAGAACATACTTGGGGAATACTAGTTTACAGATAAAGGTTTGCCTTTCATTTGTTTTCAAAGCATTGCAAATCAGAACACAAATACCGAAAGGTGACAGTGTAACTCTAGCTAAGAAACCACAAGGGCCCAGCAGACAGTGCTAAACAAGCACACCCTCCCTTGCTCAGGTAAGAGTGATGCATGTTTCACTCTGGTCTCCCGTTGTGGCCAGAGGGATCTGGGTAGGGGAAAGTGAGGCTGTTTTAGGTTCATTCCATTGTTGCTTTCATCTTTAATCTCCAGGCCTTCTTCCTCTCTTTAGTTCATGTTGCTTTCTCATTATTCCCGCCCCTCCCCCCCCCATATCCTTCCTTCTTTCTCTCCATTCAACAAAGTATGTGTACAACACAGAGAAGTCAGGGAGGGAACAAAAATTAGACAGGTTTTATGGGCCATTATCTTTACTCTTAAGAACATGAGTAAAGAAATAGAAGAGGTGCATGAGGTAGCAGAAATAATCCATGGAGGGGCACATACTGCCTCCTTACCCCTACCTCCACAAAGAGACAGGAAGGGCTGGGATCCCCAGGACAGATGACTAAGCACAAGAAGGTGGAGATACCACTTTAGGGGAAAGTGGACTAAGAAGTTGTCGTTTTCCCTATAGCACTTGGGATAAAACCAGGAAAAGACCTGGCAAAGCTAATGGTCTGAGGAAAGGGAGTGTCTGAAATGCTACCTGCAGCTAAGGAAAGAGGTCATGAGGGAAATCAAGAACCGCAGAGCTGTCTGCTCATGCGCAAGTAAAACTGGAGACCATGAATTTACAGAGGCACTGATCGTAGGATTATGTGATTTTTCTCCATTGGTTATCAACAGACTAGCACAGATTAAATAGAAATAGGGGCACAAAAACAACATATTTGTGATAAAGTGGTTGAAATGATGGATCACAGAAGTAACAGGAACAGATAAAGGACCAAAAAGTAGTACAGGCCAGAGAGTCGAAGTCAGGGTTCTCTCCTCAAAGGAGCAACAACTCTACAAAGGACAAGCAAAGAGGCAAATGCCAGAAGTCATTCAAATTGATGAAACATTAGAAAAGTTAAGGGTGATTACGGGGTATGTATGTGTATATGTACATATAAATGAATGAGCAAATACTGTTAACTTATTCCAAGGAGACAAAAAGCACAAGTCTGTATATTTTTTTAGAATGTTTTCCTCCTTGTCACCCTCCCCCAATGCTATTCACCTAAGAAAGTAACATTTGTGTGTCCCCATCCTTCCAAATCTTTCTCTACAGCCATATAAATATATATTTTAGTGTAATCATATCATTAACATCCCTCCAAAATTTGATCCTTTTCTAGTTAATCTATTATGAAGCAATGCATGTAATGGATGTTAAATAGTACATAATATAAATGTACTGCAATTTGTTCAGTCTTTCCCTACTATTTAACATATGAATGCATTTTTCATTTCTTGCTATAATAAAAGGTTAAAGTAAACATCCTGCTACATACAGAAACACTGGTGCTTTTATTTCTATAGGATAGACCTAACTCTGAGACTGCTAAGTCAAAGAATGGAAACTTTCCAGAAAACAAACTAGTCCACACTCCCATGCCAGTATATGGGGAGTCCCTGTCTCTCTGACACAGCACTAGAACCAGATACATTTTGCCCATGAGACAGGTGGAAGCTTTTTTTTTTTCAATTTACTTTGATTTATACTTCCCGCCCACTTATATAGAGAATCATTTTAGTGCTTTTTGACCATCTACTTTTTCTTTTCTGTGAATTGTTAATTCACATTCAAGTCCATTTTTCTATTAGATTGTCTATTCCCCTATTAAACATGGAGACCAATTTTTTGATTGTTGAATTTGTGATGTAATTCATAGTGTATTCTGCCAAAAGAAATCTTTAATTTTATATAGCTGGTTTTATGAAGTTAAATATTAATTATCTCTTCTGCTTTTCCTACCTTGTCTGTGAAGGTCTTCTCATCTCAAAATTATATAGTGTTCTAAAATTTCTTCTCAAATCATATATTTTGAACTTAAATCTTTTACCTATAGAAATGTACATATAAAGTTCCAATTTTGTTCTCTTTGAAGCAGATATGCTATTTAGGCTAATATCATTTACCAATTGAACATTCATTTTCTGGTGAAATGAAATTGAGTATAATATATTCATTTCTTATAACATTAGAATCCATTTAATTGTAGTCAAATGACTTAATTCTATATATTTTGCATCACACTACTTTTATTACTGCAGCATTTTGTTAATTTCAAAATACAAGGAAAGTTCCCTGGCCCCAACTACTCTTAGGTTCTGTTTCATTACTTTTTGTATCATTCTAACTAATGCCCCTCAAAAAAAAGTTGGGTGTCTGTCAAAATGTCATTAAATTTACATATAATTGGGGAAGGACTGTCATTTATATGATAGTAAGCCGACCCACTCAACTGGAAAGTATATCTCTCCATTTATTTAATTCTAGTTAAGTTTCTTTAGAAAAAAATGCTATGGAAAAGCAATAGAGCTTTCAAGAACCTAGAGTTAGACTTCCAAAAATATAAGAACAAGATAAAATCTGATAATGGAGTATTTTAACACTTTCATAATTTAACAGGTCACATAGGCTAAAGGAAACATAACAAGACTTTGAACAAAATAATCACAATGGTCAACTTTGTGAATATATATATATATAATATTTTAACTATACAGAGAATGTACATATTTTCTTATGAACTTCTAGTAACTGGCTGCAAAGATAATACAGTCTTATTACAAAACAAAACAACCTAAAACCCAAGAAGATGATAAAATACATTTCGGGAAGTTAATGTAAGATTCCCTTTTTAAAATGCCCTAGAACAGAGTCAATATTGAAATTTCATAATTTTAAATGGCAAAGCAAAGACAGGGATGGGGATAAAGAGTACATGAACAGAATAGATACAAATTCAATTTCCTCACCAAATCGCAGGACAAGGTCTGCCCAAGAAATCTCTTACCCTCACTCAACACCACACAATATGTGGGTCTCTGAGACTGGACATTTCCATAAAGGTAGAACCAGTGAGAGGACATTCCTTTTCCACCAAGTTACCAGCATATAGGATAAGGTCTAACATCTTCCCTGAATATAAACAGTTTAGCTTAACTAAGTAGGGAGGCAGATTTCTGGTACACTTTCATATCCTCCATAGCTAGAAGGAGGAAATAAAACCTGTTTCATTATACACAGAATACTCTGAATTACAATCACTACGAACGATGTGATATGCAATAACTCTAAGGTAGTGTCCCCAGCATACCTTCCTCCACTCCAATCCTGACAGACTATCACACAAGATCATTTTATTACGTTAAATGAAAAAGATATACTAACCAGAATATTTGCATTACTTTTTTCATTACAGCTGATTAACCTATCGGGTGATTCCCTAGGGGTTAAAAAAAAGTTTCTAGTGCAGTATTACCACCGACTGTCAGAAAAAGTGAAAGCTCCTATGTTTCAAATTATAAAACAGTCTAAGCTTGCTAAACATTCACTACCTTTACTCATACATCTCATTCACCTTTTGAGCTTCATTTTTCTCACATATAAAAAAATGAGGGGGTAAAAATGTAAAATGTGTTAAAAGTACTTATCAGTCTCACATTTATCAATTACATAATTCTCTTCTTTTCCACATCTTTAAGTAACATGGATTCAAATCAATCATCACAGTGTGGTGTCACTGCATTAATCACTGGGTTTTTTTCTATTTACCAAAGCATAATGAAACATTCAAAGTTCAGCATTTAAAAGAAAATAAAAGTAATATAGTTAACTCAAAATTATATTAAATCACTACCTGAGTGTGTTTTCATGTGTAAATGCTTGAGAAGAGAAAATCTGTGAATAATTAAAAAACTAAAATAAGAGAATTTTCCACTCAAGTCAGGGGTGGGGATACTCAAAAGCACTATGGAAAGTGCAAATAAAGGAAGAGAATGAAAACCAGGAAGGCTGAGAAAGTTATCAGTTTCATCCCCTCCAGCAGATTAGAAGGAACTAATTAATGCCTATAACTCTTTGCGAGACCCAAGAAACATTATTTTTACTAGATTTTGAACTTCCCAATTCAGCATCATAGTTGCCATTCGTGCCTAACACTGAGTCTCCCCGTGGCATAAATTCAAAGGTCTTTATCTGAAGAAAAATGAAAACATAAAAACTAATCGATCAAAGATTGTTGGTAAGATTTTTTGGAATGTGGCTGTCAAACTGTGGCCCAGAGGGAGCAGACTCAGACTGCCCTCAGCACCGACTGTGTAGGGGATCCAGCCAGCACCCACTGCTTGACTCCATGTCCTAACTCTACTGTGCCTTCCAGAGCCAGCATCCCCCCGCACCATCAGTCCTTTTTGAGATGCTTCTGTTCTCTCCTGCCGTAAAAAC